AAAAACTAATGATGTAATGTATGGTGATTAACATAACATAATAAAGTAAAATTTAAAAATAAATAAATAAATAAAATCTTTAAAAAATAAATAAATGACATCTTTAAAAAAACAACTTTGAATAAAACTAGGTCATTTTGCTATATTTGAAAGTGAATAAGCAACATAATTTTAAGGTTTTTAAAAATGTATTTGATTCCATTTTCTTCCAGCTTTATTGGGATATAATTGACATATAACACTGTGTAGGTTTAAGATGCATAATCTAATAATTTGATATCCATATACACTGTGAAATCATTACCACAATAAAGTTACTTACCACATCCATTACTTCCCATGGTTACCATTTGTAAGTGTGTATGTATGTATGTATGTGTGTGTGTGTGTGTGTATGTGTGTGTGGTGAGAACTTCAAAGATCTAATTTTCATCATATGATACTGGGTTGTTGTTTTTTTTTAAGATTTTATTTTTAAGTAATCTCTACACCCAACATGGGGCTCGGAATCCACAACCCCGAGATGAAGAGTCACATGCTTTATTGACTGAGCCAGCCAGGTACCTCTTTATGATACTGTTTTTAGATGACATCACCTTATTCTACAGACATGAGGTTCAAAATATCATTATAAACTCTCAGGTGAAATAAAGTATTTTATCAAATAATTTACTCACATCCTCATCCCAGAAAGAAAAGAATTCAAGACCTTAAAAAAGCAAATAAAATACAAAAGAACATGAAACTAAAACTCAGGACTAAAAGTAAGAATGAATGGTCACAGTCTAAAAATGGAAATCTACATCTGAATATGGTTAGATTTGGTTAAGAATAATATGAAAATTTTTTTTTCTAAAATTATAAAATAGAAAATACTAAGATTCTAAGCATCAGTCAATTCAAGACATTAAGAACTAGGGAGGTGAGCTGGGGAGGTGAGCTCTACTTTTAGGCCCACACCAAAGTATAAATCAACTTCAGAAAAACAGGAGAATGAACATCTAGAATTCCATACATGTATGCATTCAGTAGGCACTCAATAAATATTCAATGGCAAGTAATCAATTCCAAGAGCACCAGACTATTCTATATAGTTGAGGAAATGTATTTTCATCACCTTGGTAAGGTGTCAGAAGTTTTGATGCAAATGTGAAGCTTCTGAATTATTTATTTTAATAGCAAAGAAGGAGTACATTGAGGCCAGTTGTCAGATACAACAGAACCCCTGATGTTGTTAGGGTGACAGCATCAATATTAATTTATTAATTTTCATAATGTGGATAAAACTTTTTGACATCCTGCCACAGAAAGGGATAATATAGTGGCACATACATACATACACCTTTCTAGATATTAAGTATAATTAGTGATCACTGTGAGGTTTTTAAAGCCTTATTTCAAAGCATTAATGTTTCACTGAAGCTGAATGTAGGTAGCAAAACCATATGCATCCAACAAAGTCTCCTATTACAACATAACAGATAAAGTTTGCAATCTTTCATATCTGCAGATGTTTCTACCTAAATGAGTAATTAATAATAAATCGAGATGAAAGAAATCTTTGATTAATGGCTCAAACATCAATTAAGATTCAGTAAGCAACAGCCAATAAATTTTATCTGATAATTTTCAAACTCCTGAGATAACAGAATAAAACTATAAACATTTAAGAATTTAGGTAACTATTCTAAGCAGTTGTGATAGCTGTTCCTATCTTTGGAAAGATGAGGAAGAAAAAGAATAGATGCTTTCAGGCAAGTATGCGTTACAGCATGACAGTGCATATGAACCATACTTGAGGTAGGTTGTTTGAACAATGTTGGTTTGAGGGTGGTTAACAACTACAGAGCTGGACAGAAAGGAAATGGAAGACCTACTGAGCAGAAAATGCAAAGCAGAAGTTAAGTTCATCTCTTAATTTGGGGGGAGGCCTAGTCCACAGGCTTGCTGTAACAGATTTTGGATAGGATGTTGACAGTGTGAAGCTGTTGATTTAAACCTTCCAACATGGTCTGAATTTAATGCTTCCTAAATATTCTGCATGACACCCACTAAACTAGGATTCCAATCACTTCAGATTGGAATTATTACATGATTCCAATCGTTACAGGAATCTCAGCTGGAGCACTGTTCACAGTGACTTCACTGATACCCTTTCTTTCTTCAGTCTTTCTTCAAATCAATCCTGCTTAGGGCTGCTAATCTAATGTTTCTATAATACTATGCTCTTGCTCAAAAACACAAAGTAGTCTGTCATAATGGTTTTCAAACGCTATCCTGAGGAGCTCTGAGGATTACAGGATACCCCCAGGGACTGTCCTGGGAGACTGGAAGTCTCTTGGATCTCTTGGATCTCTCCCTCATGTCAACTTCAACAAGAATTATTCTACTTCGATTTATTTTACCTATTAGATAAAAATGACTTAAAAAATTAAATGAAAATTTAAATAAAAATTCTAAGCCTCACGTAGTTTAGAAAAACTACAGGTACATCACATCAATCCCAGCCTGCCTCTTTGCAAGTTTTAAGGCCCTCCTCCATAACCTGGCCAACCAACCCATTCAACCTTTTTCCTGGGAGTCTCTAACAGTTCCTCCTGCCTTTTCACCTATACTTTGTACCAATCCTACTCCACACTTCCTTTCTCTCCAACCATTCCAAACTATTCCCAATTTCCTAAACCCAGTATGCACTCTCATACCACTGTGTCTTTGCACATGCTAGTCCCTTTTCCTGGAATTCCACAACCAATCCCTTTTCCCTCATCACCTACTGGCCTCACATACTTGACAAAGTTCCATTTACTTGTTCAGACTCTACACTCAAATTGCTTCCTGGATGGTTCATCACCATAACAGAAGCTACCTTAAGAGCTAGCATTCCTTCCTCTATGTACCTAAGCACTCTGTGCAGCCTGCTATTTGTACTCATCTGCAATAGTTTGCTCACATATCTGTCATCCACATTACACATTAATTCCCTTTATGAGAGAAACTTCTTTATACTCAACACAAACAAGGTAGTCGATAAAGATATGGCAAATAAATATTAGAGAAATATCTGTTTCCATGGGGAATAGAGAGCAATGATGATGGATCTTCACACCTGAATTTCGTCTCTCATGAAACTATGATGAACCTCTCTCCTTGATTTAACATCCAAGCCTGCATGGTATGTTCCACAAGCTAACTTCAGTTTCTTAAGTTCAGCTGAAACTTGTTCTGTCATTTTTCTGGAAGGACAATAGATGATAGTTGGACCTTCAAATTCCCAGGTGGAACTAAAAACAAACAAACAAACAAAAAAACACACACACAAAAACAAAAGAACAAACATATAAATATATAGGCTTCAGTTTGAGTTTTCAAAACCAGTTTGAGTTTTATCTTATTTAATTTCCCCTTTCTTTTTAAAATTTTAATTTCATTTTAATTTACTTTTAAAAATTTTAATTAATTTTCCTTTTAGTAAAACACTAAAAAAAAAAGTATATAGAAAACAATGATATATTTAACTACATAAAAATGTGGAAAGTCAAATGTGGAGATAAATTATATTAAATCCCAAACATCTTGGACTCATCTTTTGTTCAAATTAAAGTCAAAACCAGAGACAAGTTTAAGCAAAAGCCCTGACAGAAACAAGCTACTGGAAATGCAATTTCCATACTTTTAGAAATGCAAAGCACTAGATGACGAATTAGTCTTCATTTACATTAGAAAGATAAGTGAACATTTACATAGGAGAACAGTCTTATTCTTTTTCATGATCAAAAAATTGAGTTTTCTATGTAGGTTTACTAAAAAAGCAGTAACTTTTCTGTACTATTAAAGATCATTTGTATAGTTTAAAGAAGTATTTACTAGTAATCTTGAGACTATTATAGAAAACATCTGTTTGAAAGTCTGTTTTAGAAACCTGTGCTTATTTATTAAAAATGCAAGGATGATTTCCATAGAACATTTATTTAATTCCTCAATAAATTCATTTACATAAATACATTCACTTATGTTGACTTAATCAATATTAAAAAATGTATTATTTTAGAGTTTGGAAAAACTTTAATTTTTAATGCATATATTCTGATACAATTTCAACTTTAGGAATTTATTTTACAAATATACTTTCACACCTGCCAGAAGACACATATACACAAATATTCACAACAGAACTATAATAGTGAAAAATAAATTTTCATCATTATGTACATTCATACTACGAAATACTAAGCAAACAAAAAATTATTGTATCTAAAACCTTTAAGAAGGACTATGGCAAAAGTCACTGAAAACTTAAATAGAGGGGAAAAAATAGGCAGTAATTTGACTCCACAAGTTTTACTGAATAATCTACTCAAAGCAATTTTTTATAGTGACCAAATGGGCTTCATAACAAAATGTCCCGGCAGATCAATTAAAGAAGTGAGAACAAAATACAAAGTATTTTTAATACACAAAAACTAGGGCGCCTGGGTGGCTCAGTTGGTTAAGCGACTGCCTTCGGCTCAGGTCATGATCCTGGAGTCCCAGGATTAAGTCCCGCATCGGGCTCCCTGCTCGGCAGGGAGTCTGCTTCTCCCTCTGACCCTCCTCCCTCTCATGCTCTCTGTCTCTCATTCTCTCTCTC